ACTTCTTACAAGACAGACTTCTGTTCCATTCATAGTGTATTCAATGTTCTTCACCAATACTATAATTCAAAAGATTGATTCTTCTTTGGTCTTCCTCATTCATGGTCCACTTCAATATGTATATGAAGCAATAGAAAGAAAATGTCATGACTTAGGTCAGGTACACCTTAGTCTTCTAATTGACATCATTGTTCTTTATGATACTTTGGTAGGAGAATTGTCCAATGTAATAAGTAATTTTATTCCTGACTGCTACTTCCATTGGCATTCACCATAGATCCAAATAAAATTAAACCCTTGACAAAGCCAATATTTTTTCCATTTATCATGATGTTGTTTACCAGCCAAGCTGTGAGTAGCTTGGTTTTCTTTATGTTGTAGTGTAAATTTATCCCCAAATAAACCAATCCTAGGAATTTCACGTCTTGATTATAAACAACAGAGGAGGAAAATAGTTGCTTGAAAATGGAATGGTCTGTCCTGAAAATGTGTTTGAAAAATGGAATGGTCTGTCCTGAAAATGGTCTATTTCCTTCCGTGTTGAGGGAACCTGGACACAGACTAAAGCAAGAGGGATAGCACATGATAGGTTCTCTATAGATTAAATGGAATAGATGGCAAGGGAGCTCTGTTGGCCTGGTGGCAAGAAGCTGCCCTGCAATTCCAAAGGTACACAGTTCGAGGCCACCAGCCGCTCTGTGGGAGTAGGAGCAGCATTCTCCTCCAATGTGATTAACGGTCTCTGAAAATCCACCGGAGGGTCAGCTATGGGTTGGTTCCAACTCAACGGTACACAAAACCAAAATAATTAAAGTGATGTTGTTGAGCTTTCCAAAGGAGTAAATTTAAAGTCCATTTGAATTTTTCCTACCAGGCTTGGCCATGTAGGATAGCACTGTGAATTACCTCTCTGTGATGAGGGCGGTGTTCTGGATCTGTGCTGTCCTATAAGGTGGACACTCTCCACGTGCTATTTATTTCATTTCTTTAATAATTTTATAACTAATGATTTTAGAGGCTACTATATTGGATGGTACAAGACTACGTAGCCTTGTTTTGAACACTGGCATCAGAGCTGCCTCTTCCACATCAACTTTTAAGAAAACACAGAAATTTAAGAAGGCAAAATGTTCTGGAACTGAACAAGAAAGAAGGTATCTGAATGTATATGCCTTTACACACAGGAGGGGTCGTGAGAGGCCACTGTAAATGAGCCTCTCTGGAAATTATTAGCATCAGATAAGTCACCTTAAAGATCACGAGTAAATCACTTCATTGATAATCTAAGCAATTGTGAAGATGCCAGTTATTAAAAATCCATCCCACAATGGCTGCTTCGAGGCCAACTGCCGATGTGACACAACTTCCTGGTGGCTTCCCTCTGAGCTATACATACCACACCAGTGACAGGCCACTTTCTTGATTCTCTTCTACCCACCTACTCACAGCAGTCACTCCCTTCTCTGGACATACCCTTCATTACCTCCTTTTCCACCAGCCAGTCTTGCCTGTATCTTAAGCCTAAGGAATTGCACAATTGCCACGTTGGGCAAGCAGTTACCTCTGTGAGAACTCTGGGTCAAAACGGCCACTGGGCTTTTTATGGTAATAGAGAAACTTGGATGGATAATGATTATGTTGCACTATGATGATGAACGTAATCAATGCCATTGGAGTGTACATTAAAACATACTGAATTGGCAGATGGGGTGTGTGTGTATGTAGATGTTATATATAAGCTGACACTGATGCGGGGAAGGGTGTGTATGTAGCACTCTGGTGACTTAGTGACAAGAAACTGCACTGCAAGTCCGAAGGCATGTGCTCCACAGGAGAAAGATGGACAATCTCTTCCCAAAGATTAACTGTCTCTGTAAACCTGCTAGAGAGTCAGCTATGGGTCTGTTCTGACGAGAGAGAGAGAGAGAGAGAGAGAACACACATATACATGTTGTTGTTGATTGCCTTCAAGCACGAGTCATAGCGACCTTATGAACAAAAGGTCTGAAGCCCCTCTACAACTATCGACATTTATCAGAGTTCATAATACAGGCCACATGGTGTTTAGGAAGTGGATGCCACTCCTGCTTATATATGTGTGTGTGTGTGTGTGTGTGTGTGTGTGTTTTGTTATCTATCGTCAAGTCAACTGCAACTCATACTGACCCTACGGAAGCACAATAGCTCTGAACTCTGCCCTATCCTGAGCCAATCTCATTGTTTCTGACACACCAACCACCATTACCCCAGTGACTGACTCAATCCATCTCCTCCAGGGTCTTCCTCACCTGCACTGTCCCTTCACCTTTCCAAGGGTGATGTACTTCTCCAAGGACTGGTCTCTCCTGACCACATGCTCAAAGTATGTGAGATGGAGCTTCAGAATCCTTGCCTCCAAGGTACAACTTGGTTTCACCTTCTCCAGGACAGACCTGTTTGTTCTCATTGCAGTACATGGTATGTTCCATGCTCTACTCCAGCATCACAGCTCGAAGGCATCGATTCCTCTATAATCCTTAGTCATTGTGCAGATCTTTGATGCAAAGCAAGTAATTGTAAAGACCATGGACTGGATCAGGCGCATCTGATTCATATATATACTTGCCATGATAAACTAAACTGATAAACCAACTGGAGTCTGAGGCTGATATGACGGAAGAGGCCTCTCAGTTTCTCTTCTGCCCAAGTGTATGTGGGTCCTTCAACTGAGAAAGTATCTGCCCATACACCAGTATCAAGAAAATTAAGAATACGTCTCTTAAATATGCACAATACAAATGCCATCAACATGTGAGAAAAATCCATCCTGTGGAAAGCTGATTAGAAATAGTAGAAGCATTTCCCTTCATTTACTGAATGTGTATTTATTGAAGGCTTCTCTTGTGGTTCAATTGGCATCCACTTCCTAAACAACTTGCCTCTGGAAACTATGAACTTTGATAAATGACAATAGTTATAGAAAGGCTTCAGGCCTTTTGTTCGTAGTGTCACTGAGTCATGCTTGAATTGATGGCAATCAACAATAATATGCCAAAAGACTGGAGTCTTGAATACATCCCAGGAATCATCCAGGAAGGAAAAACCCAACCATTGAAAACCCTGCAGAAGACAGTTCTCCGGTGACTGCCATTGAGTCAACTACATAACAACTGATTGTTCTCCTGTGTATCGAGCCAGGCATTCAAAGAACTCCACCACGCTCACTCCCTCAATTCTCTTCAGACTCACAGTGAACTACCATTGGATTTTAACCTGAGAAGACTGCCCTTCTTTCTCCCACAGAACCGCTAGTGAATCCAGTGCTACAGACTACGTTATACTCTCAACTTATTGCTGTCAAGGCAGAATCAATTCAAAGCTGACCTTCCAGCAGGTTTTCAGAGGCTATCGTGGAACTCCCCAGAGTACTGAAGAGCAACAATGTCAGTCTGGAAACTAAAGCGAGCCTGATCCAGGCTACAGTCTTTGCAATTACTTGGTTCGCATCAGAAAGCTGGACAACATCTAGGGATGATATAAGGAGAATTGATGCCTTTGAGCTGTGGTCCTGCAGAAGAATATTGAATTTACCATGGACTGCAAGGAGAACAAACGGGCTCCTACAGGAGAGGCTGAGACTAGGCTGCTTCTTGGAAGCAAGGATTCTGAAGCTTCATCTCACATAATTTGGGCATGTTGCAAGGACGAACTAGTCCTTAGAGAAGGATGTCATGCTTGGGAGAGTGGAGGGACAGCACAAGAGAGGAAGACCCTCGAAGAGATAGATTGATTCAGTGACTAGGGTAATGGGATAACTGTGTCAGAGACAATAATGTTGGCTCAGGATAGAGCAGGGTTCAGAGCTGTTGTAGATAGGGTCGCTATGAGTCACAAGTAACTCAGAGGCAAATAACAACATAAGTTACACAGGAGAAGTTCTATCTTTCTCCCTCTGAGCAGTTGGTGGATTTGAACAGCCTGCTTCGGGGTTGCCGTCACAATTCCTTTTCCATTAGTCCACCAACACTCTGTATGTTGTACTGTCTTTGCTAATACTGTTGTTAGGTATCATGAGGTCAAGTACAACTCATAGCGACCCTATGAACAACAGATCTGAACCCTGTCCTATGCTGTGCCATCATCTGAGTCACCAAGATGTCATCACCCCTGACATACTCAAGCAAGCCTCTGCTGCAGTCACTGTATCAATCCATCTCATCGGGGGCCTTCCTCTCTTTTGCTGACCCCTCCACCTTTCCAAGCATGATGACCCTCTCCAAGGAACAGCCTCACCCAACAACATGTCCAAAGTATGTGAGTCGGAGCTTTGCCATCTTTGCATCCAAGGAGCACTCTGACTATAGTTTCTCCAGAACAAATAAATTCCCTCTTCTATGAGTTTAGAATGTAAGCAAAAGGGTTCACTTTCTTTCCCCTCCCCTGCCATATTTGTTCTCTCCACTTCTTATTGATGTTGTTGTTGTTATTATTAGCTGTCAAGTCAATTGTACTTATGACAATCCTCCCATGCATCTAGAGTAGAACTGCTCCATAGGATGTTCAAGGCTGAGACCTTTTGAGGAACAGATAACAAGCCCGCCTTCCAAGGTAACCTGGGCAGGCTTGAACCACCAGCTGTCCAGTTAGTCATCAAGAGAGATCTTAATCATTTCACCACCTGGGGATTCCAAACAAAAATTCTCTAGAAGGTGAGTATCACCATTCCCATTTTACAGATACAGAAGTGGAAGCTAGGGTCTCTTTTGCTTCCCCACACCGACTACCTTGTATAGTCTTCTTGTTGTTGTTATTCTTGGAACGATCCTAAGCATTATTGATTTAAAGGCAATTCTCCTACCATAGGAGATTAGGGGTATCCAGGAAACCTGGTAAACAGGAGACCCATTAGCAGGCACCCCAGCAGGGAGGGAGGAAAACCACCACCATTGAAGGCCAAGAAGAAAACGGATCCCTAAAGAATGCATCATGGTTAAGGAAAAAGTATTTTGAGGAAAACTTACCGGCCACCACACCATACTTCGACCTGCCAGGAAGAAGCCTCCAACAGTCCCACGATTAGTGGAAAACATAGCCTGAGGGGAAATAGGTAAATAAAATTAATAGAAAAGTAGGACTGAGGGTACTTGTCACATAAAAGGACATACCTGCCCATCCATTCACACTTCTACACACTAGACTTTCTCAAAAACATATCATACATGTATATGCCTAGATGTAAATTGTGTTAGCAATCAAGTGTAAGCTGATTGGCTGTATCTGATCTCATTTACAAACAGCTTGGGTGGGAAGCCTCTGTGCGGGCAAACAGGATCTGGTGGGTCTGCCTTGATATTTAAAATCTGGTTTAGCCCAAAGGCCACAGGTCCGAGGGCCTGCTATTGATCTTATTCAGAAAGAATATTGTTATAAGTGATGAAGTACATGTCTGTCAGCAGCTCTGAAGCCTCCCCTGCCCTGAGCCTGTCTCACTGACTCCAGCACACCTACCCTAGTTACTCTATCAATCTATCTCATCCGGGGGTCTTCCTCTCCTGCACTGACCCTCCACTCTTCCAAGCATGATGTCCTTCTCCAAGGACCGGTCTCTCCTGACAAAGTGCTCAAGGTGTGTGAGAGAGATATACGCACACATATATGTGTTGTTGTGGAATACTGTCGAATTGGAACCTACTCACAGCTGATCGTCCAGCAAGTTTTCAAAGGCAGTAAATTGCATGACAGGAGACTGCCCATCATTCTCTAGCATAGCAACTGGTGAATTCGAACTGTGTATCTCTGCATCATCAACAGTGCACATTTTTACCACTAAGCCACCAGTTTATATTTATTGTTTTTGTTAGTTTATCATATGAGTATCTGATTCAAAGTGGCCATAGCAGGTCCATCGCATCTCACTAATGCTAGTATGTCAATATTCTTGCATTCTATTTCATTTTTAACAATTTCGATTTTCCATTTTCCAACATTCAAACTACTAACTTTTCACGTACCAATTGTTAAACAATGTTTGTTATTGATTTTCCTCATTTCAACTAACTTCCAATCTGGGCTCTACCACTATGCTACTATAACTATCTTCTTTGCTTAGTGTTCATAGGGTTTTTTAAAGCCTTTTATTTAGGAAGCAGATGGCCCACCTATCAATCAGGGAGCTCCACCACAACTCATCCACGACGGGAAATCCTTTTGGAGTTTAACACACCAGTGGCAAAGATTTCAGTATCACAGTAACCCCACATAATCTCATTTACTATGGGTTGCACGTGAGTCAAAGACACATAACAACAAACAACCACCTATGTATACACACATATACATACACATAATAAAAGTGGTGTTATGAAAAGAAAAATACAAACAGCAAACATCAAATGCTGGCGAGGTTGTGGAGAAACTGGAACCCTTATTCACTACACATACACATGGGAGTGTAGAATGGTGCAACCACTATGGAAGACAGTATGGCGCTTTCTCAAAAAGTTGCAAATAGAGATACTATTTGACCCAGCAATTCCACTACTGGGAATATACCCTAAAGAAACTATAACTGCCACCCAAGCAGATATATGCACACCCATGTTTGTTGCAGCTTTGTTCACAATAGCAAAGAGTTGGAAACAACCCAAGCACCCATCAACAAAGGAATGGACAAAGAAGCTCTGGTATATTCACACAATGGAATACTATGCTGCATTGAAAAACAAGGAACTCATGAACTATTATTCAAAATGGGTGACCATGGAGGGCATTATGTTGAGTGAAATATCTCAGCCACAAAAGGACAAATATTGTATAGTGCCACTGTTGTAAAACAGGACTGACATTGGGGTTGAGGAGAGACTGAGAAAGAGGGGATAAATAATGTATATTGTATTGAAACAGATGAGGGAGAGAACTATTTAAAAGGGATATATGATTAGGTATTACTGTCATGACAGGAGTCCAGAGTGAAGGCTGCATAGTGGAGTGGAGTTTGGGGGATGGATTGTATAACAATAAAAGACTTTTTATTTTGCTTTTACTTTTCAAAGAGAAGAGAGAATTGTGGGGGAAGAGGGACAGGGAGAAAAGTGTAACAATGAATGAATGGAAATCCAAAGTCTCTGTAAACTTCCATTAAAACTAATTTTTTTTAAAAAGAGAAAAAAGAAAAATACAGTTAAGATGTAAGAGTAATAAACACTACATAAGAGACTAGATATTCAGACTCAATTATTGAGTTTCTAAGCACCTGACATGTCACTATCTGAAGTTAACTTTGTTGGATCAAAGATGCTCTTAATGCCCAAATTCAATTCAAATCTTTCCTTCCCAGGCACTGAAGTAGGAAATTCTTGGAATTGGGACTTCTTGAAATATTATAATAGCTAAAATAAATAAAGAGGATGAAGGGAGGTTCTTCAGACTTCGGTATCAGGAATTATTTTAGATTAGGGTAGTATTCCATAAAATCTTGAGAAAAGCAGGGAGTTTTTCTGTCAAGGTATAAAGTTTAAGCAATGATCTAATACAACTGTACATAGTGTGTGATAGTGGAGAGAGAGAGAAAGTGGGCCAGCCTTGGGTGCTTCTGGAAGAGACTTGAATGGGGAGAGTAGTAACACGTGGGAACAGACCATAAAGTCTTGAATGCCAAGCTAAGAAGCTTAGATTCCATTCCGTGAGCAGTGGGGAGTCACTGAGGTTTACAAAGGGGGAAATGACAAGAATTTTTAATAAATGATGGCCAGTTCCTTTGAAATGTTGCCCCTTCGGTCTATTCCCAGTTGAGTTTTGAGGCCTAGGCCCAGGCTTCCAGCACAAAATGGGGACAATGCCACTGACCCTGGTCCCTCCTTCCTTCCTCTCTCTATGCTAACAGTCTTCCCTCAGCTGAAGCTCCACCATCTCCCTAAAGATGTTCCCTCTCACTGCCATCAAAGTGGAACCAGAGCTGACCCTCCAGTGGGTTTCTGAGGCCATCAATCACACAGGAGGAGATTGCCCAGCTTTCTCCTGCAGGGCTATTGGTGGATTTAAACTACCAGGGAAGCTCAGCCTTTGGGTTAGGAGGACAACCTACCTCTCTCAGAGGTGCCTATATTCTCGTAGGTGACCACTGAAGCTAACAGTATTTCCAGTCCAAAGAGATTAATTAGCCTCTGACAGTTACACGTCAGATACTGAGAAACTCGGCAAACATAGGTGGTGCAGATAAGCTCATTGCTGGTCCCTAAGGAGCAACGCCCTTCATGCATCCAAACAGTCTACACAGATTTGTTGACTACTCACTGTGTGTTGCGGAATGCCTGGGAGAGCATGGATCAGACTTTCCTGAACTCCCAGCAGAGCCCTCCCACCATAGGATATACATACTCTTGAGTCCCTCACGATGAGAATAGAAGGAAGACCAACAGACTTTAAGTGGATAGAAGACTGGTAGGAGGGAACAAACCAAAAAGAGTTCTAAAGATCCATCCTCTGGCAATTGGCCAGGAAAAGGTCACTCTGAAAGGTCATCCTGAAGAGTGACACCTTCTAGGCAAGGCTGACGGGACAGAAAAATCCAGTTTGGAGCCTAGTTAGGGACCTCTCCCACCTGTTTTCAGATATAAAGAGAACATAAAAATGGAGGGCTAGAAGATGCTGCATATAGATAAAAGTTTGAGAAAAGTAAATCCTCTTTTGTTTCTTTCAAATAATCAAAATTACTGAGTGAAAGGAAGGAACCTGGGGTGTCTATTTAGATAAAGAACAACTTTAAAAACTGGGGCTATTAGGGCGTTGAGAGAAGATCCAAGTGTGGGTCTTCCAGTCAGTGTACAGACCATGACTCATATCTGGGTCTTAAGACTCCATCTGGAGATCTATAAGAATCACCTGGGAATCTTCTCCAAACATTAATTCTGATTTAGTGTATCAGAGCAAGAGAGGAAGACCCTCAATGAGATGGATTGACTCAGTGACTGGGGTAATGGGGTAAGTGTGTCAGAGACAATAAGACTGGCACAGGACAGAGCAGGGTTTAGGGCTGTTGTACACAGGGTTGCTATGAATTGCAAATTACTCAACAGCACCTAACAACAACTACAATAGCTAGAGTGGTCGTTGTGGTTGTTGAGTGCTGTCTAGTCGATTATAACTCAAATTGTTGTTATTGTTGTTGATTGCCATCAAGTTGAGCACGACTCATAGTGACCCTAAGATCAAAAAGCCTGAAGCATTTCTGTAAATATCAATATTTATCAAAGTTCATAGAGTTTCCAGAGGCATGTTGCTTAGGAAGGGGATGCCACTCCTGCTTCTAGATATTAGAAATGCAAATTCTCAGCAGGACCCCAAGCACGAATGAGCTGGTTGAAAGCCTTTGACCAGCACAATGGGAGATGCTCCTGGGCACCGGTCTGAGGTGCTGAGTAAGGACTTTCCTGTCAGTGAGAGCTGTCTAAAGAAGGAAGTGATGTCATGGGGGAGAGATTCTGCTGGACTCACTCAAGCAGAAGGCTACCGATAATTGCCAAGATGATAAAAAGAAGGGTCTTGGGTATTGTGTGAAGAAGGCTGGAATCAACTATTTGAGGCCCATTCTTCCCAAAAACATATGATGGGAGAAGAAATTCAGCACCACCAGCCCATTGTCAGGTCAATGCATATGGCAGAATATCAACGCATATGATGATATGTCAACGCATATGATGATATGTCAACACATATGACGGAATGTCAACGCATATGGCGGAATGTCAATGCATATGGCGGAATGTCAATGCATATGGC